CTGGAGTGTCTGTACCTGGCATTGTGCGACTGAAACAGAGTAGGGACTCTGCTTGTGTACTGGGCACCCTCCTGCCCAGCAGACTCCCCCCCTGAGCTGATGGAAATTATCTCGGACCTGGTATTGAGGAGCCCCAGGATGCTGGTCTTGGGTACTTCCATTTTCTCGTCAGGACTGTTCTGACCGGGGTGGCTCAGGACTTCGTGGCTGGATGGGACAAGATGAGTGTGATCTAGAAGTGAGAAACTTTAACTCCTACTAGGGAAAGAAACCCCCTTTCTTAAAGTGCCTTTCTTAAAGCACTGAGCATCAGAAACCCTTGCCAATCAGCCAGAGCCAATCTACTTTCTCCCGCAATGCATCTAACGATATTGAGGAGCGGAATACAATATGGAGTCCGAACGCATTCACTCAAAAGTGCCATGTGGCTGGCGCTCCTTCCCAGCAGAAGCTGTCGCTCCAGCAGATAGTACAAATGTCTCTTTTTTAAGCAGTGTTACCCGAACTGTACAAGCAGGAAAGGAAGCTGTTCCCTCATTCTAAGTTTGGCCCACCCTGGTTCATGAACCCTTCTTGGCTGACCCTTCATGGGTGGATCACTGGGACCGTTCTCTTTGCCTTGATCAGTTGGTCTGGATTCCAGCTGTCCCAGTCGCACACGTGCCTGGGAGTGGGAGCATCCTCTCCCCTCTTTGTCCTTTTTCACCTTGGTTCTCACTCCATGTCAGAAGATTGAGAGTCTGTTTTCAACTTTACTCTCAAATTGTCCTGTTCTCGTGTCCCTGTTTGGTCTTCTCTCGCCACCTCCTTATCTGACCCATTCTTCCTCTCAGCACCTGTGAGAGTGGGGAGCAGAGTTTTTTCCGCTGGCACCAGAGGGCGCCCTTCATCGACATTCTGGTTCTCATGAGAAGTTTCCTCCTCTTGCGCATGTGAAAGGGACCCTTCTGAGCGCATGCACACGACACCGTGTGACCCCTGCACCACTGCCCAGCCTTCTTGGTGAAGCAGGCCCGGATCCATCCCAAACGCTTCCAGTCCAAGGAAAAGCACTGGGAGGAGGCAGCCTGGGGGAGCAGCCCCACCAGAAGAGGAGCCCACTGAGGTGGGGCAGACACTGACCGCCCCCCTGCCAGTCTTCCATTTTCCAAAAATCCCCACCCCCAGGTCATGGGGTGCTGGGGGTCTCACAAAAGACCTTTTCCAAATAGCAGACTGGCTATAGCCCCTCCCTGCTCAAAAGGTCTCCTGCTCCCCCCCACCCTCTGACTTACATCTCTGCCAGCCTGGACGCAGCTGGTGCTGTGTTCAAGTTCCATCAACCACAAGAGAGGCGGAGAAAGGACCTGTCTGCACCATTGTGCCA